AGGGATCAAATCTGGACCCTGCACCTACTTGTAGGTGCTTTAATCCGCTGAGGTATTTGGCTCGCCCAAGAAACTTTTGAAAGCAGGTATAATAAACTTTAAAGGAGGAGCTTCTTTTCTGAGTGAACATTTTTGAGGATCTATTAGCTCTTGAGATACTGTTATTCAGTAGAGCTGATTTTGAGGGATAGGAGAAAACATCAGTCAGATTAGTTTGGCTGGCAACATGTCTCACAAACTCTACCAGAATTTTTAAGTTTTACGTCTAGATCATATTTTCAGAGACCAAATTCATAAAGTATGTACCATCACATCCTAAGACATTTCCTTGTTCTCATCAATTTGCCATAGACTGCTAGTTTTATAAATCAAGCTTGCTGGTTTAAAAATCATACTTTTAGAAGCGTAACAGTCCATAACAATGAAAAAAATATAATTTACCTTTGATATGCAATAACACCTGGCACACCTTCCCTTCTCTCACTTAATGATCCATAATACCCCATTTTGTAAGGGGCTGTAAAAAGAACTAGAGTTTCCTCAGGCAGAACTAACTCTTATTTTGTCTCTTTTTGGATTTAATTATAGAATGATCTGTTCTGTACATTCCTGGGGTAGGTTAATTTTTAAATTTATTTTAATAGCACCTTAATTTCAGTGGAGGGTTTTTTTTTTTTTTCTTTTTTGAGCTTTGTATTTATTTCTGCAGCTGTAGCTGTAACAGAGTGCCTGGTATAGAGAAAAGAAAACCCATGTCTAGCTTAATTAAATAGAGATAGCAGGATCAGCTACACACACTTTGTTTATTTACATGGTTTGAAATAAAGGTTTTTGGGGTCATGCATAGAATTTATTTATTTATTTTTTAATGTATTTGCTACAGGGTGTCACTACACAGCTTTGACTCAGTGATCCTCCTGTTTTCAACTTCCCCAACACTGGGATTACAGGCATGCACCATCATGCCCTGTCTCAGAGGCTGGCACAGCATGTGGTGCCAGGGATCAAACCATGGTCTCTGTGTTTGCCTAAGCAGGCACTTAGTCCACTGAACTATCTTGCTGGCCCTATGCATAGAATTTAAAAAGCCTTAAAAAATAGTGACATTTATCCCTGATATTTTATTAGAATAATTTACAGTGGCATTCCTATTTTGCAGGATGATACCCTTCAACTCACTGATCACTGAATCAGAAATCTTAGATTAGGTCTAGGATCCAAACATTGCTCCAAATAAATAATTTTTAATATATACATAATTTTTCAACTATGAAAAGTTGTTTCATTGCTTTTCATCAGGATTAAGAATATAGTTGAAGAGTTCTACAATTCAAAACAATCATGAGATAATCACAAACTATTCGGGTAGAAATGAAACAATTTAAAGAGACAGTCTTGAAACACCAATTTTTCATGTAATTGTGTGAATATAGATTTTCACACAATTAGAAATCAAGTTTCATAGGCGCTATGAATCAAGGCACTGTAACATAATTTTGAAATATTGAACATGCCAAAAGCTTGTAAAACAGAAGTTGACTTTGGTGATAAGTATAGCGAAAGAAATCATAACAAATCCAATTTTACATTAAATTGGACCAAAAGTGCTCAATGAAAAGAGAATCAGTGTAACCTTAAAAACATATTTTGGGCAAATTTTGCATAGACACTAATTTTCTTTAGACTACTTTCTATCTTGCGGTTTGTATATAGTCTTTGAACTTGCAGAGTTGTTTTCTGCATAATAACTTACAGAGCAGTGGTTAGTTTTAGCGTTGCAGTGTTTTGTGTTAGGTACAGATGTTTCCTTAGACCCGTGGAGGCAAACCTATGGCACACATGCCACAGCAGACTATTGTTACCAATGAATTCTCTTAAAATGTTCATTGTCAGTGTCCTGAATGCTGCTTTTGGTTGCAGAAATAGATACTAGATATTTTATCATGAGGCTTATGGAGTGGTTATGGTGATTGGTAGTCCTCTTTTTATTTTATCTGTAATAGATACATCTATTTTGCATCTGGTTTAAATATGATATTGGAAATGAAGCTATGGTGTCACAATATCCTCATCCTGGTCCCTCACTTTCCTTTAGTGTGATGAAAGGTGTGTCAGTATTTTCCTTCATGTGGGATGCTTTTACTAGCTATTGTTAGCTTTCTTTCTTTCTTTCTTTCTTTCTTTCTTTCTTTCTTTCTTTCTTTCTTTCTTTCTTTCTTTCATATATTTAGTACAGGATCTACAGGGTCTCACTACACAGATCGGACTCATAGTGATTCTCCTGTTTTCGTCCTCCCAAGTGCTGGGATTGTAGGTGTGCACCACTGTGTCCATTCTCAGTAGCAGTCTCAGTGTGCCCTGGGGATGGGGCCAGCATGGCCCCCTGGGGGATTGAACCCCAGTTGCTCTCCCTGCCTAAGCAGGTGCTTTAGTCCACTGAGCTATCTGGTCGGTCCTTGGGTTTCTTACAAACATTTGATAATTCTGTGCATTTTTGCATTCTTATGTGCATGCTTTTAGTGTGCATTCTTTTCTGGAATAAATTTCCTTTATTTTTACTGTTTGGAAATGATTGATATTCTATCATGTTGTATGTTTGAAATGGTGCATCAGTAACTTGATTGGTACATAAACTATGGTCAAAACTGTCCTGCTAGGTTTCATTGCAAGATCTTGAATGATAACAGAAACTCTTGTGGGGTTTCAGTGAATAGTAAAACTAAAGTACTGCCATTTTGAAGGCTTTTTCTTTTCAGCTTAGATGTAGATTTTGATGGCTTAGTTAGGAAAGGTCTGTCTTCTATCAAAATGAGAGCTTTTGTTTATAGGATAGATTAGATGAAAAAGTAAATCTGAATGATTATGGTACTGTTCTTTTTGTCTAGAAGAAAATAATTGATTATAAAGCATGATCACAGTACTCACATTTATAGTGTTCACATCTTAGAGTAGTGTCTCTGCTGTCTCTTGTAGTAGCACACTATAAAGGGACATTTGAAGGTACACAGTCTGCTTAGTAGGCCAAAGGAGGAGAATACCAGCAGTTCTTGAAGTGGTAAAAGGTTGAATAGTTTTCATTTAGTCAACCATGGCAAATAATTTTTCATTTTTATTTTGTTGACCATTAATCCTTAGGTCTGCACTGTCTTTTTTAAGAAAATCTTTTTATTTGTTCATTTATTTGGTACTGAGTCTCGCTATGCAGCTCAGACTCCTAATGATCCTCCTGTCTCAGCCTCTCCAGTATTGGGATTACAGGCATGTACCACCATGTCCATTTTCAATGGCCAGCATGGCAAAACTGGAGTTCTGGGGCCGGCACAGCATGCAGTGCTAGGAATCAGACCCAGGTCCTTGTGCTTGCCAGGCAGGCGCTTAGACCACTGAGTTATCTCCCCATCTCAAATCTACACTGTCTTTATGGAATTATAGACTCTCAGTAAATATTCTTTAAGTAGGTGAATATTTAGTATTTAAGGGCCATAGTAATTTTGTTAGTTTACTCATCAGAATATGTTATAAGTTTAAGTTTTAAGAATGCTGCAGATGTCAACTAGTGTAATTATGCATGCTCATAGCAGGCAATTGGATATGCAATAGCTACTGCTTTCATTCCAGAAGATGCATTCTCATTTCTGGTAACATTGAGTACCTGATATTATTCTTATTAATTGAAGGTTCTACTTTACCAAACACAGTTTTGATTATTGTTTTGAAATAGAGTACTGTACTTAATGCTTGTTGATACCTCTCTCGATAAAAGAAAATTCTTTTGGAGTTTACTCTAGAAGTTGTCATTATCAATTATTTGTTCATTTAGAAATCACAAAAGTGCAACTTCTTACATGTTTAGATCATGGGTAGGAGAGGAATGAAATTATTGTGGTTGGTATTTTGAAAGAAATTGTTTGCACTTTATTACTTTTTTGGAATGGGGTACTGGGGATTGAACCTTGGGTTGCTCAGCCACGGAGCTACATCCTCAGCCTTTTTTATTTTGAGACAGGGTCTTGTTAAGTTTTCCAGGCTGACTTTGAATTTGAAATCCTGCCATCCAGTCCCTTGAGTACGTGGCACTATAGGTGCCCTGCTTATTACTTTTAGTAACTAAAACCATGAAGGGTCAGAAAATTTGAACATACATTTCTGGGACTTTTTTTTTTTTATAGAAGTATTCAGAGATTCACTTTTTTTTTTTTAACTTAAAGAATTTGTACTAACTCTGGTGCTTATTGTTTATCTTCTCTATTTACATACCAGGTTCAGTGTTGATTAACTGTCACACTGTGACCAAGTGTTCTTATAATTTATGTTTTTAACACTGTGGTACACGTTGTTATTAACATGTATTTTATGGGTAGCTTTCTCATAAATTATGAGAAGATACTGTAATAGTGTTTAATAGTGTCCGAAGAATTGTACATACACATTGTAAAGGGACAATTCTGTCTTATACATGAACTTAAAAGGATAATTATATCATATAAATGAACATAGATTATTTTATAGGTGCTTAAGTACAATGGTTATTAAAGAATCAATAAAGATAGATTGTTGTTTACCCTCCATAACAGTTCTCACTGTGATTTTATTGGTTACGAAAGTTTAGGTCTCATTTTTAAGTAAAAAATAGTGTTCTGACATTGATACCATTGGACTTCTACTTTTATTTTTAAAATTGACATGTTCTATTTAAATTGTTTTATAATACCCCTATTTACCTAAAAAAATGTCTGAAGCTTTTTCGTATAAAAATATGCATAGGATAACTTGATAAAGTTAATTCTTAATTCTTTTTTCTCAGCTGTTTCAGGAAAATAATTCAACAACCTTCATTGGGCAGCAATACATATTCAAAGTAATTCTAGTTGGTTACCTAGTACGTTTTATTTATAAGACATAATTTCAATGTTATATTAGATTTTACCTGAAAATTATTTTAAGACAACTTTACGTGACACTAAATTTAGTGCATTAATTTTCTCATTCTCCTCTTACAGCATTTTCAGTTAGCTTTGGTTGACTGTAATCCCTGCACTTTGTCCAATGCTGAAAGTAAGTATTAAGTACCGTAGTTTTCTGCATGTAGTCAGATCACTTCATCATAAATAATCATGACAGTAATGTTAGTGATAAATTCTTTGTGATTTTTTTTTTCTTATAGAATTATTGAGTGTTAACTGTACTGGTTGCCATGACTACTTGTGCAACTGGAACATGTGAGCCTGTGAGCAGCTTGTGTCTAAAATAGATAGGCCAGTCAAGGGGGTTTTTGAATTAAAATGATCTGCATTAATGAACAAGATTTACTTTTTTTGTCTATTATATTGTAGATGACTCAGAGGGATTAAAATTATGTTTGTCAGTCATTTTAGGAAAAATGGATATACAAAGATTCTTACTTAGTGTGTGGCATTAAAATTATTATTAATTTTGAAGCTAATGCTTTGACCTTTATTGTAGTTCTACACATTATATGAGGTAACACTTCAGCTAATTTAAGAAAATGTGAAGTATATTTTGGCACAGTGTTTTTCTTCTGTTATATTTTTACTTTCTATGTAGATTTATTCCAAAAAATAGGTGAGGTTGATATTATAATGTGTTTATCAGTAATTATGTTTTTGTGTATTTAATATACTTCAAAATACCCAGTAAAGAATTTTTAAAAACCATTGGATTGAAACTGGATTTTTAAAAAAGCTTTCTCCCTTGAAAAATAAAAATTTTAAAGTATAAGAAGCAGTGAGTAATTCTTCATGAAAATTTCATTTTTTTCATAGTATTCTAGGATTTAGAAAGCTTGCATTTGACTGTTATTTTTGTGGTTTCTGTGTTGAACAGGGGTAAGGGAAGAAAGGAAAGACCCACAGAAGGTAAACAGTGGAAAGCCACTGCCTATAAGCCTGAAGTGGCAGAGGGAGCCAAGAATTGAGCTGAGACACATAGACAGGAGCAGACCTACTCAATGCCTCACTTTCTTTGTCACTTCACTGTTACACCCGTTTTGTGTCAGGGTTTAGAAATGCCTAAGGAAATTGTTGGATCAGTCAGAAAGCTGTAGAATTTTGAATATAACATGCATTAAGACAGAGCATGGAGGGCTGAGGCTGTTAGCTCCATAGTAGACTGTCTAGCATTTGAAAGAATGTAGGTTTAGTCTTTAGTCTGCCTGCCTGCCTGCCTGCCTGCCTGCCTGCCTCCCTGCCTCCCTGCCTCCCTGCCTCCCTGCCTCCCTGCCTCCCTGCCTCCCTGCCTCCCTGCCTCCCTGCCTTCCTCCCTCCCTCCCTCCCTCTCCCCATAGCATGGTATAAATCTTCATTTATAATGAAGAACCATTTTCCCCCTCCTTTTTGGTAATACTGGAGATTGAACCCAGAGTCTGCATACTGAGCTATATACCCAGCCTCTTATTATTCCTTCCTTCCTTCCTTCCTTCCTTCCTTCCTTCCTTCCTTCCTTCCTTCCATCCATCCATCCATCCATCCATCCATCCACAGGATCTCACTCTGTAGTTCAGGGTGGTCTTGAACTTTGAGATCCTCCTGCCTCAGCCTCCCAGGTGCTTTCTATCATTCTGAATATTTGCCCCCCCCTTTTTTTTTAAATGGTGGTAGTAGTGAGAAGGTAATTCAGATTGAACACAGGGCCTCACGTATGTTGGACAAGACAGTAGCATTACCACTGAGAGACTCCCCTATACCCTTTGTATTTTTTTAAATTTATTTTTTTATTTTTGTGGTGTCAAGGATTGAATCCAGGGCCTTCATTTGAGATATCCCCCAAACACATATTTTATTTTGAGACATAATCTGGCTGAGTTGATAACCTACCCAGGCTGGGCTTGAATTTGTAAGCCCCTTACCTCAGTCTCCTAGAGTATTGGGATTTTAAAATCTTAAGATGAGCCATCATTCCTAGTTTGATCAATTACCAAGGAAATCTGATGAAGAGGGGAAAAATGTTAAAAGATTTCTATTTTCTTTAAAAGAAATTCAGGATTTGGTAAAGATTAGTGTATTTCCAAGATAAATGACAGAAAATAACAAAAACCTTTTACAGTTTCTAAAATAAAGTTAGAGCGAAAGATAATTTAATTCATTGATTTAGCAATTTATGAAGTGCTAGTTTATACTTTTTCCTTAGTTGTTTTTTCAGGTTATATAGAGACCCTTAACATCTTTTTATAATTAGTTTCATGGAATAAGAAAACAGTTTGTTTTCACTTATTTCATTACTATCCTGTAAATTAAAATTAACTTTGTTCACTACATGTCAGTTTGGGTAACTTTGAGGGACCTTTCTTTCATGAATGTTGGACCATCCTCATTTTAATCTTTGTCAAGGTTACATCTTAGTTGTAAATCATTACTCTTTTGAGGAAAACATTGATGGATAGACTGAGTACCTCAGGGTGGAAAACTTTGATGTTGAATTTGTTTTTGTTTTTGTTTTTTTGTTTCTTGTCTTTTTGAGACAGGGTCTTGGTATGCAGTTCACGCTGGTCTTAAACTCACTTTGTAGTGTAGGCTGGCCTCAAACTCACAGAGATCCTCCATCTTCAGACTCCCAAGTGCTGGCACTATAAGGGTATGCCACTATGGCTGGCCTCATGTTGAATTTGAAGAGAACAGTTTGAACCGTCATAAATACATCTTTAAATATAGTGTGTCCATCTGTTGGTTATTGAGAAGAAAAATAGAACAGGGCTGACCAGCATTTCTTTTGTCTGCGACTGAGGAGTTTCTTGAACTTTTAGTGCTGATGGCTTGTTCACTGTAGGGGAAGGGCAGATGTTTTAGAATTTTTTTAGGCATTGTATAGATTTACTTGGTAACCATGATAAAGGTGAATAAATATTTTGTGGAAACCAACAGTTGTAGACTACCTATTTTAAGGTAATATTATTGTTTTAAATATCAGGCTCTTTACTGTCTTTGTAAAACATTTCTCTTTGAATTATTTTGTCATCATTGGTTTGAATGTGCCACAGACTTTGACAACTCTTTAAAATCCTTTCATGTTATTTGTGATACTACAAAGATCAAAATTGTAAGTTAACAAGGCTAGGGATGTAGGTCAGTGATAGAGGACTTACTTGGTATACACAAGACCCTGGGATCCTTCCCTGGCACTACTGAAAAAAGTGCAAATTATAAAATAGTAAAATGAGCTTTTGAATGTATTTCTGTAGGAGATAACTTTATGGCACAGTTCATTTTTATAATAGAAAAAAATAAGTACCCTTACTGTTTCTAGAGTTATTAAGCAGGGGTCAGTTATAGTTTGAACTGTAGAATCAAAAGTAGAATCACAATTGGGGCTTTGCATTATGTGATTGTCTCCTCAAATAAGATAGTTTTTTTAGTATTAATTAGTTTTGTTAATTATAAAATTAATATACTCTGAATAAAATTTAATTTCAGGACCTCTTATGGCAAAAACTTATGAAGATTTTTGTTTTAGCTGAGACTTTCAAGGTAGAACTTTCACTTAGTTATATAGTTATGCTCCACTTTGAAGAGGACTTTTAGGATTGTAAATGTACAGTGTTTTCACACTCCAAAAGATGACACTGGATTTACCGTCTCATGGAATTAATGAGGTCCTTTTCGTTAAAACTTCAAACTGAGCTAAAGGAAGTTTGGAGTGGATGTATGAGATACTTACTAGCTAGCTACTAATCATTTCCCCCCTCTTCCTTCTTCTTTGCCATCTTTATTAGAAGAACAAGAAGACTGGGGGGAAATGGGCATAGATTTTCCTTCTCTTTCTCATCCTTTTTACCTATAATAGTCTTTCTCCAATAATATAAGGATGTGAGATTTGACAGGTATCGGAGCTGCGCTGGACTAGGGTATGAGAAAGAGATACCTTCAAATCTGCAGAACACACACACTCCTACTAGATAGCTCATATTATTATTTTACTATGTTTTTCCTTAAAAGCTGTTTTTCATCTTCTGAGGAGTATATCTTAATTCAACTTCATGTTTTAATTGATGTTTGATATTTAACTTAACACTGAGATGTAGTACTTTTGATCCAAAATTGTTATGGTGATTTTGAAGTTCCTTATGTAGTTTGTTTGCTATCTTGCTTGTATCACAGGTAACTTACTGTTATGTAGTTTAGCAGTTCCCAGCTACTGACATAGGGGCTAGCCATCAAGAATTTCTCACAGAATTGAATAAAAAGACAGACTAGAGTATCTGAGTCATCATCTCAGAAACCCATGTTTTTAAGAAGATTCCCAGGTGCATCTTCTCATTACAGAATCAGTGAGAGTTCAGGTGCACACTCCATATTATTACCTTTGGACCTTGTGTTTAAAAGTACACTTCAGGGCCAGCCAAATAACTCAGTAGATCAAAGTACCTGTAAGCAGGGGCAGGGTGTTTGATCCCTGGGACTGCCTTGCCAGCCCCGCCCTGGGGGATGTGCTGAGATGGCAGTTGAGACCAGGTGTGGTGACATGTGCCTGTGGTCCCAGCTCTTGGGAGGCTGTAAACAGGAGGATCACTCCGAGTCTGATCAAGTAGTGAGACGCTGAACACACTGTAGACCCTTCCCTAAAATACAGGAGGGGAAAAAAAAAAAAAGATAAAAGAGTCCCCTTGACCATTTTACATACAGTTTTGAAAGATTTACAGTTTCACAATATTTAAGTAGCCAGTAGCCAGTTTTGATTCTGAGCTCAGTTTTGCTTTTATTAGGTAGTTATATAGTTATGAAGAGTTGGAAATAAAAGCTGAAATATTGTTACTAATTTTATTTTCAACATTTACTCATTAATCTTGGAACTGTTTAATACTTGTCCTCCAAGTTGTTTCACATATTCTTTAAATGATGAAGTTTATCTAATTCTAAAAAACTGAAAAAAATAACACATACTCTCTGTTATTAGCAGTGTCACCATGGTCTATAAAATCTTTATGTTTATATGAAATGATACATCAAAAAATCTAGTGACTTTTTAAGCTTTAGTGTTTTTTATTAAATATTTAGCTTTTTTTAACTTAAAAGTATTTTATAAATACTATGTTTTGAAATGTGCAAATCATGAGGATTTTTATTTGTTTAATATTACCATTTTGAATTTTGTAAGATGTTCCCATTTATATATTGCTAGTTCATGATATTGACAAATTTTATTTTGATATGACAAAGAATATTTGCAGCTTCTTGTTCTTTAATGTTCTTGTTTGTGTATTTTACTGAAAGCAAATGAGTTTTATTCTCTTAATGAAATTTATATATTGTAGGTGGTGCTTGTCTTACATTTCATGTCATTCTTACTTAATTTACCCAAATTCTTCTGTAGTGCTAATGACTTTTTTCCATCATCCATTGCAGTTCAGTTTCACATTGCCCACTTATATGAAACCCAGGTAAGTGCTTTAACTTATCCAATTTAAAATACAAACAAATTATCACTCACTTCAAGCTTCAATGAAGTTAAATATATACAGATAATTTTTAATGGAGTTCTGGGATGTAAGTCTTACATAAATTTACATTTTATATTGATTAAACGTGGTCAAGTGAGTTATGTAATGCTTGCTATGTGCAGAGACGTTTTCATTTAATATAACTTGCCTCTATTTGATTTATAAGCTCATGTTTATTTTTAAGATTTACCTTATTGATGATGCAAAATGCCTCATTTTCTTTTCAAAATGTTTCAGATAGTTTTTGTAATGCATTGTTTTTATATAGTTTCCTTCCTTTTTTAAGATTAAAAATAGCTCCTCTATATGTCACTATTTGAAAGGCATACTAGAGTCGCTTCTGAAAGTCATTGTCATTACTTTCATGGCTACTTTTATTTTAAAGCCTTTTCTGGTATTAGGACATTTTGTTTTGTGAATGGCAGATTTTGCTCAGTTGATAATTAAAGGTAAAGCACATTTACTTTAGGCAGTATTATACTATAGAAAATTGGAAATAGTTGGAGTGAGACTGAATATTAGATAATTATAGTTTGTACATAACATGCATCTTAGAACAGTTTTAGAGAAAAATACTGTTATACATATGCATAATATTTGTTTTGATACTTTGATCCAAGTGTAACAGTAAGGTATATAAACTCATATCCAGGAGATGCAAGATCGTGTCGCAACCCATTATGTATATTTTTGTGGGATATACTCAGAACTTAATACTGGTGTGTCCTAAACTCATCTGTGTAGCAAAATCATTTGGAAAAACCTTAAAGTTCAAAGTTGTGAGGGGTACTTTAAACATTAACACCAAAGTCCTTTGTACCACCAATACCACCCATCCCCATGCCACTGAATCAGAAATGATACACATTGCAGTTGAATTCTGACTACCCTTTCGCCGCCCCATCCCCACCTTTTCTTGTTCTTGATTTGATTTGTCCTTAGCTGTAGTATAAGCTTTCTAACCTTTATTTTTAATTAATAAGTTTGCTAGTTGTAATTCTGTTTGTTTGACTGCTTTGAAATTTTCCTTCTATTTTCTTCTGGCCTTCATTGTTTCTTATGAAAAGTGGGCTTGTTTGCCTTACTGTTTAATCCTGTGCAGGTTATGTGTGGAGAGAGTCCTGACTTCCATTCATTGATTCATTTACATTTTATTAATCAGTCAGATTACACCCAAAAGAGCAAAGCTCATGACAAGCAGACTAATTATTAGTGGACAGTAAAATGACACAGTAAACATGTGAAAAGATTGAAAACTCTGCTTCACTGGTTATAACAAGAATTCTGTTTTTCGAGGTAAAAATATAGGGAAAGTAAAATGACTATCCTACATACTATAAAAATTTAGTTTTGATAGTTAAACCATTTTATACCATGAACTTTAATTATGAATATGGATTTTACAAGTTTAATCACACATGGTTAATTGTAACATATGTTAATTGTTAGGTATTAAGTTCAAGGGAAGTTTCTGTATTTAGGAAGAAGTTGTTCCACTAGTAAGTTAGAAATTCAGTATCATTTTGTAATCCCCTTGGGCCCTGCCCCACCCATATTACCTTTGTAACATTAAATAATACAATTGTAATTAAAACTGAAAAATGGTGGAATTATATTTAGAGTGATTCAGATTGGAGCTGTTAAGTTTGAGACCTAATTGGAGACTTAATTCAGTCATATAATTAGCTGGGGCTGATAGGAAGAGGGGGGCATGCGTACGTACGTGCGTGCGTGTCTGCGTATTTATTTGATATCGGATCTCACAATGAAGTTCAGACTTGTAGTGATCCTCCTGTCCCAGCCTCCCCAATGCTGGGATTACAGGCCTGTGCCACCATGCCTGGTTTTGGGGCCAGCATGGCATGCGGTACGAAGATGGAACTGCGGTCCTTGCACTTGTCAGGCAGGCGCTTAGACTGCTGATCTGTCTTCCCAACCTTACTAAGGCATTCTTATGAGGAATTGGCAAGTGTGATAATTGTGTGGTATTGGACTTACAGTATTTTAAGGTTAAAAGGAAGCCTTTTGTAGTAATGAAAGTATAGTAATTTAAAAATTCTTCTTGCTTAGAATTACTCATGCATTTAGGCTTGGGTAATTTTAGTCGGATGTCATCCTCCAACTCTGCGTTTCTATTTGTGAAGATCCTGCAGGACAGAGCAGGCCATGTCTTAGTAGGTTTTAGAAATGAGGTTCAGGTCATTTTTCTATGTGTATTGTCCTCTGATCTATACATACAGATAACTTTGTTTTTCTGTATGTCATACCCCAAAATATTATTTTTTTGAGAATTTATGTTGATGAATTAATCTACTCTATTTTTTGTAATACTGTACTCAAAGTAATATACTAAGTTTTATTTTAATAAAATAATTTGAACAGTTTACCATCTTAATTCTTAATAACTTTTAAGGTTCAGGATTTCTTCCTTTCCATTGTATTATTAAAATGTTATTTGTGGATAATCCAAAATGAAAAGGCCTGAAAGAATACAGTTCTTTCTCCCTCCGTTTTCCTACTGCCTGTTTCTTTCCCTAAAGCCACTAGTGTTACCAGTGATTTTCAAAACTCAGTGTAAAACTCAAGTGCATGCATGTGCATAATGAGTATATGCAAATTCATACACAAAATATCAGTGCACATAGATCAACATCTACACATGTATTTACATAAGTTTATTCTTTTTTTAAATGAGAGAAATATGTTTTTTTTGACATCATTGTAATTTTTTACTTAGTATTATGTGTTAGCAAATTCTGTCAGTGCTCATAATACTACTTTTTTTTTTTTTTTTTTTTTGCGGAACGAGGGACTGAACTCAGGCTCTTGTGCTTGCCAGGGAAGTGCTTATGATACTGAGTCATCTCCCTGGCCCCATAGCTACAGAAACATCGTACTTGACTCTCTCTCTCTCTTTTTTTTTAAAATAATACTACATTTTATATCTCTTCGCATATCTTTTTGCATAGATATCTCCCTTCAAAAATAGTTACAAATAATGCTACTATGAATAACACTTTATAAAAATTGTTACTTTCATTTCTAACATTTTCTTCTACCAAGCTTTAATTACCTACACATAGCTTGTATGTATCTTATGAAAATCTATAAAAATTCAAAGAAAAATCCAGCTTTACAATATGTCATGAATGCAACAAGATTTATTTATTTATTTATTGGGAAGGGTTTACAGGATGCTCAGGGTCTCACTACTAGATCAGACTCATAGTGATCCACCTGTTTACAGCCTCCCAAGAGCTGGGATTACTGGTACGCGCTACCACACCCAGTCTCAATTGCTATCTCAACGCGCTCCGTGGGGCCGGCATGACAGACTGTGGAATCGAACCCCCGGCCCCTGCACCTGCTTGCAGGCGCTTTAATCTGCTGAGCTGTTTGGCTGGCCCTAAGATTTATTTCATAATTGAAGGATAATTCAACATAAGGAAATGGGTTAACGATATAAATAAAATCGCTGTCAAGAAAACTGATAATACGGGAAGAAATATTAAGTTTTTAATGAATGGTATTGTGCACAGGAGAAAAAAAAATCTGTAGACTTTGCAGGGTAGAATTTTGGTATTCTGAAAAAGCCAACACAATAGATAAGCCAGTATCTAACTTGATGTAGGGCATTAAAGGGAGAGAAAACACACATATACAAAATAACATAACCATGGAAACAGAAGAAATTAAAAAGAAAAAGAAATTAAATCATAAGACACTACCTTTCAGATCTCTATGTAAGTGAATTTAAGAACCTAAATCAAAGGGATGATTTCCCAAGAAAATAACAGGTCAGCAAAATTGACTTCATTAGAATGAGAAACGTTGTAAAAATATAATTTTCACTAAAGAAATAAAATTACATCATACAGAAAGTACTATGCCCAGATGTTTTTTCAGGGGCATTTTAGCAGGCCTTTTAACACCACATAATTCCAGTGCTCTGTAAACTTTTTTCAGCTCATTGAACATGAAAGATAACTTGCTATCCCTATCCCCTTTTATTGTTTGTCATAGGGCTTGTTATTATATTAGACTTTGAGAGACATAATGTATTTGATTATAGTAATAGTCCTTTCTGCACTTGATGTCTATATAATATTTTAAAATATAATGCAAATGAAAAATCCTAATTATAAAATAGGCCATAGTGCTTTAAAATCTGTTAAAATACAGGAACATGAAATTTACCATTTAAGCCATTTTTAAGTGTATAATTCAGTGGCCTTAAGTACATTCGCAGTGTTGTCCAACCATTACCAATGTCCATCTTTAGAACTTTTCCTTCATTCCACAGTGAAACTCTACCTATTACAGTAACTCCTTATTAGACTCTTTACCTAACTCTTGGTAAATACTGTTGTACTTTTCATCTCTGAGCTTGACTACTCTAGGCATCTCATAGGTGAAATCATGTGTTTGTCCTTTTGCATCTGGCTTACTTCACTGTGCATGTTTGTAAGGTTTGAACATCTATCTTGTGTCAGAATTTCACTTAAGTCTGAATACTTTTCTATTATATGTATACACCACATTTTGTTTATTCATCTGTTAATGGACAATTGAGTTATTTCCATATGTTGACACTTATGAATAACACTACTTGAAATTTACCATTTGGGTGTGGGCATTAATTTCTTTTAGTATAAGAATTATTTTTATAATGTACAGACTGATCATTATTTTTACTGTCTCTGAACTTTGAACCATAATTAGAAAGTCTTCTATATCAGAAGATGTGTGAATATGTTGAGATCACTATTTTCAGTTCTTTTTGGTATATCCCCAGAAAGAGAAATACTCGATTGTGTTCTACATTTAATTTTTTTTCAGAGCCATCATATTGTTTTTCCTTATTCCTTTTTGAAGCAAGCATTACATTGATTCTCAACCCTGATTAAAGGCAGTATAATCAAAATGCAAATGAATATCGC